AATCCATCCCTCTAGTTTCTTTTTTTTTCTTTTTTTTCTCTTTCTCTCTTTGTTTACCTCTTGTGTATAGATATGCATATATATATATATAGTCCACCATTATTGCCCTCACCCTCCACGCAACCACCGCCCACCACTACATCAACCATCACCACGTACCACTACAACCGCCATGCGCCACCCTCGCGAGTGATTACTAGTCAAGGTAAACGAGCAATGTTTGTAATGAGCACAAATATTTATATAGCGATAGCTCGTTCACCAAGTCTCACTCTTGAGTGAGTACTTCAATGCTTCACTTCCGGGTGCACGTGATGCAGCGTTTGTGCACTTCCTCACCGAGGTCCCTGTGGCTTGATTTGTACGTACCACATTCGTAGCACAGTAGTTTTGAATAGGGCACATGAAGAAAAATTGCCACAGTTATTTTTATTTGTAATTGTTTATAACTTGGGACCTGTTATAATTAAACATTAACAGATTACATTATTAGTTATAATATAATTAGAAATGAATAATGTAAGAGAAATAATAAAATTGAAAAGCAAAATTGAAAAGTAAAATTATAATAATGTAGATTAAATTTAAACGTATGATTTGATATTTTTATAGAATAGTTTAGTTACTTAAAATAATAGTTATTAAAATTATGGGATCAATCAAGGGATTAAGTATTAAGAGATAATATAAATATTATTACGTATCTATATTTTATATCTAAATCTTTCTTGCTCCTTCTATTTTCAAACTGGTGATGGTGTTACAACTTATTTGCTTCAATTACACTTGGCTAAAATATTGTCCAAACACATATATACATTTTAATATAAAAAATTTGAAGTTCATATCAATAATGCATTTACACTGCTTAAAGAAAAAAAAAAAAATATAAAAAAAAACAGAATTCTTATTTTTAATATAAATTAATAAACAATTGTTAATGTATTTACACAGAAATCGTGGTAGAAGCAGCAAGCATTATCGGCACCGTGCATCTCCTGATTGCAACACTGTGGCCAGCTTTGGAAGTAGTTCCTCTGAAAGTCGAGGAGGTTTGAATCGATACTACCGTCAAGCTTGGGAGAATCTGCATGAGACGGCTGGTCATAAGACCAATCATCCTCCTCTTCGTCGTAAGGAGACCCTGGATGAACCAGGATATCGAGAAAATTACCGTGGTAACAACACTGAAAGAGATGGCTCGGAATTAGTTGTGAGCGATGTAGCCACATATCCCACCAGTAAGCACGCCAGCATCTCTGACAAGAAACGCCATCATCATCATCATCATCATCACCACGGTAACTCTACGCCTGAGTGGAGGCAGTCCCAGTCCCATCACAGATATTGAGTACCGGATCTGTTATCTAAGATCCTACATTTTTTTCTTGAGATTTTCAGTGAATCGATAACTGTGACGAGTTGCTGCGATTGGATCATGAGTAAGCGATTTTTTAATATTTTATAAATGATAATACAATGAGGAATAATGATGGTTTTATGTTAAAAAATAAGTGGAGTATGCAGTGCTATAAAATTTTTATCAATGTGATTTTTAAATTTAAATAAGTGTGTAATATTTTTGTTTGAATTTTAATTTTTATTTTAATTTTAATTTCTGGATAGTTGCATGTACAAATTATTAAATCGAAAATTCTTTTAAATGTTTTTTTTTAATTTTTAAATAATTTTTAAATATTTTCTAGTTTACAAACTTAAAGTTTGTAATTAAAAAAACTTTTTTTTTTTTATATAAAATTAGCATTTACCTCATTATATTATCATTTGTGAAATTGTAATTCCAATTTGTAACTCCAAATAGAATTTAAAGGAACGTGGTGAGTCAGACGTTGTGTAGAAAAATTTTAAAACGTGATTAATAGATAAAAATGTTTATCGTTCTATTATACAGTAAATCATTTACAAATATCTTGTTACGTAATGTAAATATCGTATACTACAGTAGCATAAGTTAATGATACAAGTTGTGAATAAGAAGGATCAAGTTGATCAAAGGATATGCCAAAAAAATGAGAATAATATATATATATAAATATTTATATATATATATATAATTACTGATTAAACAAATTTTAATATAAATTATTGTATGAATGTTTAATTACAATATTAAGAATGGTATTAATTTACAAAAATCATATTCGATAAGATCAATATCTGTTATGGGTACCTTGGCCTCGCCTTAAAAAGATTAAACAAATTTCTCATAATAAACCGACATTTAAAGATGATATTGTTAAGGAAAGGCCGACGTTATCCATTTCAGAATCAAAATTTATTTAGATACGGTGCTCGTTCTAAGGTAAACTACGTGTAAAACGTTATGTAAAATCTGTTCTATATATATTTTAATTAATTATTTATATATAGTATTATTTTAATAAGTTGAACATTTTTTTCTCATATTCGTCTGGAATAAAACATACATAATTAATAAATAATATGTATTTATTTGACTGATATAAGATATATTCATAATAAGTTGTACATGTATTTATTTAATATATCGATAATCACAAGAAATTGTAATAGTGCCATTATGGGCAAATTTGTTTAATTGTAACTATACATACATTCTTGTGGTTTAATATAAAGGACATACAAAATAGTAAACATTATATCACGAATAATTTGTTATATACGTAAATAATTACTTTTAGTTTTAATAAATGCACCATTTATTGAATTAAAAATATTTATATAGTATGATTGCTTTACAGAAGTTTATAAAGGACGAATACAAATTGTTTAAAAAGTTACTTAAATAAACTTAATTCTTGTAATCATTATTGTTTCATTAAAAAAAAATAATAGGAAATCTAATTGTTATTATTATATAAATATGTGTATCACATAAAACAAAAAAATATATCACATTTAATTATGCAACCATTGACTGATGAGATTTTCGATTTTTATTCTGGCAGTTTTTAATTGAGGTGGATCATCTTTGGAAGATGGATACATGTTAGCACAGTGAGCAGTACCTGTAAGTCATAAGTTTTAATTAATTTTGAACATTGAATAGAAATTAGAAAATAAAAAATACATAATGTTTATGCACCATTGATATAAATAACAGGCATTTGTGGATTCGATGATTTCGTAAGTCCCAAAACATGCCAAGGATCAATTGATCCATGTACAAATACTACATTTGTAACTTTTAAATTTAATGCTCCATATAAAATATTTGTTCTATTTATTGCCGAGTTCAGTAAATGAATATTGTATCTATGGAAGTATAAAAATGTTTTAATTCTATATAACTAATGATTAAAAATGTATTTATCTCTCAAACCTTGGGCCAAACACATCAATACATTGTTGCACAAAGAAATCTATTGGGAATGTTTCACTAAATAATTTTGGACGTGCTGTGGAAGTTTGAAAGAATCCAAACTCTGTACACGTTTGATACATCCATTGTCGTCCTAAAAAGTATATAAAAAGTTATTATATTTATAAAATATAATAACTAAAAATATAAAATTACCAATAATATTTTTAAAAAAATATTGCATTACCTCCTTCTGCTTCTTCAGAAGCCCAAGTTACATTTCGAAGTTTATGAATCATTTTACTATATATATAATCCAAACATTTTTCTTTTGATGCATTCAATATTTTAGTGCTTAAAATTGCAAGTCTATCTATGGCAATACCCAAACTATCATTCATTAAAATATCACAAGCGCTTTCGATAGTCAAATTAGCCATTGCAGAATTATTACGATTATCTTTATTATATTGTACAATACCAGCAAAATTACTCGCTATTGTTTCATACAAATTAGAAATATCACTACGTTTAGTGTATCCAGAATCAATAGGATCACATAAACTGCAAGAAAAAATAATTTTTCAATAATAACATATATATTCATGTTAGTAAATAAGAAATTCAATTTCTACTTACACAAATTTTTTAGCTATTCCTTGTTGACCGATTGGATGACGTAACATTATGTGAAATTGTTTATTTGCTTCTACTATTGTATTCACACATGCTTCAGAATATTGTTTGAGAGCATTTTCAACAACAATATAATATTCTATAAAGTATAGTTATTAATATAAAATACGTTTTATAATAAATATTTTGTATGCTTACCCTGAAAGTCAATCTCTGCTAATAAAGGGCCACTTGCAGAAACAGCTCCATGTAATAAATGAGGATATTTAGAACGCAACCATGCAGCTAATGATCCAGCATATGACCCTCCAAATGCAATCCATTTAGTATTATTTGGTAATTTATAATCAATATTCATAATTTCTATAAAGTAAGCTAAATCTGCAAGTGCTTGTTGTGAGGAAAGATATTTTAAATTTTTCACACTAAGATCTCTGTAAATAACAAAAATATTGTATTATAATTTAAAATGTGTTTATAATTTTAAATTGTAAACAATATTACATACGAAGTAGGATGACTTTTTCCATAAAAACGATGTTCTACTTGAAAACATAATGCTCCAAATTGCTTAGCATATTCAATCCATTGGCCTTTTACCATCCATTTAGCAGTTGCTGTACCTTCACCACTTATCATTAAGAATACAGGTCCTCCTTTTTTGTAATATTCTCCATTTATAAAATATCTCTAGAAAAGTAATTAAAAAATTTTAAATATAAATATAACATAAAGTATATATAATTTATTTGAATTACAAATTCAAGAATTTTGAATATGAATATATATATATATATATACATATATTTTTATATTACCTGTTGCCAAACACGTGCATCAGTTGGATCAAAGTGATCTAAAAACTGTGTAAACCATTGCTCGTTTGGAAGTTTATAATTTTCAGATAAAATTAGAGCACCTAGATTACCATATTTACTTCGACCTCTCATAAATATTTTCCATGATATACTATTATTTATTAAGCTAATAAAGAACAATAGATATAGAAACTGATACATTCTATATCAAATCTGGTTTAATTATATGATAAATTCTGAAAAAATAAAAATTAGATATTTATATTATGTAAAAAAATAATTGTAAATATTATTTTATTGATTTTATGTTTTAATAGAGTCAAAAAAAATAAAAAATATTATCTTATATATTAAAAAAATAATATTTTTATTAAACTGTAGATGAAACATACATAAACAAAGAGAGTAAATAATAAAAGAAGAACAGAAATAGAATACAAATATTGAAATCAGCAGTGTCATCTAGAGTGCCATAAATAAAACACAAAAAGAAAGAACAAAAAATAATGAAAAAAAGGATAAGAATTAAAGATCAACGCAATCTCTTGAAATATCTTCTAAAAATATCTTTCAAAAGTATTTAAAAGATGACGCTGATCCTCAATTCTTATTTTATCTTATTTTGTTTTTGAAGAAATATCTTTGGAATTTAAAAGATGGCATTAATTGTTAATTTTGACTTTATCTTTCTACTTTTTCTATTAGTTTTTGTTCTTTGCTTGCATGTTTCATTTGTTGCATTCTGATAGCATTGATTTCAATATTTTTATCCTATCTCTGTTCTTCTCCCATTATTTGCTTTTTTTGTCAACATGCGTGTTTCATCTATCATCTAAATGAAAATTATATTTTTTTTTGTCTATGTTATAATTTATCACTTTGTAAATAAGTAAATAATTTAATTCATATTAAATATTCTTTTTTATAATACCATCTCTAAAATAATTTTTGACGCAGTATAAATTATATTTTATTATAGGTTATAGATAAAAACTGTTTTTTAAATAATCTATATTTTTATAAAAAATTAATAGGAGTAAAATATTAGATAATATTATTTTTTTATATAATATAAAAAAATAGAATTATTATTTGAATTAGAATGCAAATTTTTTCATATTTATTATATTCAAGTATTAAAATTTTTTATAATAATCTTAAACTAATTTTTTAGTATTTACATTAATTATTTTATTAAATATTAATTATTTTTATAATATTTTATAATATTTTATGTATTACTTGTATTGGTTTAAAATATTAAATATAGTTTACAATGTTTTAAATTAATCACGTGATGTATATTTTGTATGAAATAGTGTTCAATAAAATAATCTTAAAATGTTATTAAATATCTTAAAAATTAAATTATTTATTTACATAGTACATATTAATTAAGAATATTAGAAATAATATTAATAAAAAATCATTATCGAATGTTGACAAAATAAAAATAAATGCTTATGCTATCTGACAATGTTTTATAACTATATTTTTTAAATAATTTACTTGATTTTTTAAAAAAAAGTTATAATTTAGAATTGTTTTCATACAAAAACAAAAAAACAAAAATATGTAAGTATATTTTTTTTATATTCATATATATATATATATATAAGTACATAAAATTATCGTTCATAATAAAATCTAAAATCAATAAAATGTGATATAACAACAGAATTTAAAATTAGAATTGAATCTTAGGTAAAAAATATAAAACATTAAAAATTATAACAAGATTAACAAGATTATCGCTTATAATACTTACATACGTAAGTATTTTTATCTATCTCAAATAAATTAGTACAATGTGCAGTTTAAAGTTACTTAATTGCAAAAATTTTCTACCGAATTCTTATTAAGAATTATTATTATTAAAAAATAAATAATATCTTTGCAAAAAATATAATTGATTAATAAAAGAATTTATTGTACTTACAGAATGTACTTTATATTTACGAAGAAATAATGATATTGATCGATGTAAAATTTGACAAACGTAAAGAATAAAGATAAATACGTTTATCTTCAAGTAATGATAATTTATGGTGAAGTAAACGAATTGAAAAAATATTGACTTAGTGTTGCCGACAAAGATTTTAGAAACATTATATGTATTGCGTATAACCTCTTTTGTTGTTTAATTCATTGAAGGTAAGTATAAAATCAAACATTTAATTTATTATATTTTTTTTCACTATAATTACATTTCTGTTTATTTTATTATTTTATTTCTTTGATATTTATATTCTTTGTAAATTTATATATGAAATATATATTTTTTTATATAAAAATTTTGAAATTTTTATAAATAATATAAAATTTATATAAATAATATAAA